TCCTTAACTTTCTCTTCTTCTAGCCTCTCCTGAGAGCGGTGGCCGCAGGGGACGCGGCCTCAGCCGTTTCCGAGTCAGCCTTCTCTCCTTCTTTACCCCGTCGGTGAGGTTTCTGCCTCTCGCTGCTCCTGCCCTCCCCCCGCCCCGTCCCCGGGGTGGCGTCCTTAGCCCCTTGAGCGCTGGCTGAAGAGACTGTTACAGCTCCGAAATGATCCTTTCTTTGCTGGCTCACATGCGTGTCCTGTTCCTTTCTGGGAGCTTGTGGGATGCCGGTTACCTAAGGCTCTTTTTTTTAATTGGAACAATTGCTTTTGTTATTCCCCCATTTTGCACACACTGGTACGTAAGTTGTGAAGCACCTTATCATTAAGTATTGAGAGGAAGTAATAAGAAAATTTCTAGCTGTAACATTTAAGTGTTATCAAATGTGAAAAAGTATTAAAACCTTTTGGTGGGGATGTTTACATTAGCAGTGGCCTCATGGCATTTGTGAGATGAACGGATGGGAATGCAGACTGTCTCCTATCATTTGGAAAGAACTGTTGGAACAGTTAATTGGAACAGTTAAAAAACGTTTTGCCTGTTAAGCTCTTATCAGTCAATGTCACAAAATATTCCATTTGTGGTGGTGTCACTGTGTTCACAGGTAAGGCAAACTGCCCTTACTATGCCAAAGCCGAACTCCTGGCTGACTATCTCCAGACTAACTTGCCAGACTTCAGGGTTCACAAGATCACTCAGCACCCTGGCAAATGGGAGGTAAGGGATTGCAAGTCAAGTCATTGGTAGATGTCCCAATGCTCTAGAAAGCAACAAATGTGCTTGTCTGTAGGATGTCTCTTCTTCTCTTGTACTTCAGTTTTGGTAGAGGTGCTGCAGTAGCAGCTTTGGCTCCAAGAGCCAGCTGGAGGAAAAGTTTGAATGTTGTGAGAGACTGGCATTCTCGTGAGTCTTACCACAGAAGATGAGCACAAAATGTGGGCCAGCCTAAGGCTGTGTTTTGTCAGTAAGAAGTTCAAGCTTATTACTTTTTTATTATGTATAAATGGCTGCTCAGCCTGGAAATCTTTTGCACACTGATTGCATATGCCTTCAGAGTTGTTACTTGTCAAGAGCATTTCTGAAATTCAAGGGCTTTGAATTACAACAGAACTGCAGTATTACTTCATGAGATACAAAGTACTATGATGTTTATTACCTCTTATATTTTGCTTGACACCTCAGCCAAGTAACTCGAACAGTTAAGTGAACAGCAATTAACCTCTGCAGCTTACTTAACCTGCAGCTAAACAGGAATCCTCAGATTACTTACTGCTTCACAGCATTGCTATCTTCAGTACCACTGAGACAATTGAGCAAAAATACAGCAGTAAAATCAAGCAGAAGTAAGAGCTTTTGCTGTTCTGCTGAAGTATCACAGTATATCACCATGCCTTGCTTTGTGTTATTCCCCCATTTTGCACACACTGATACATAAGTTGTGAAGCACCTTGTCATTATGTATTGAGAGGAAGCAATAAGAAAGTTTATAGCTGTAACATTTAAGTGTTACCAAATGTGAAAAAGTATTAAAACCTTTTGGCGGGGATGTTTACATTAGCAGTGGCTTCGTGACATTTGTGAAACGAATGGATGGGAACACAGTCAGTCTCCTATCATTTGGAGAGAACTGTTGGACCGTGGAGGGAAGGGCCTGCTTCTGGGAGGAGTTAATGATTTTCTGGAATACGCTCAGGTAATGAGCTGCCTTTAATACTGTAAACCTGTATTTTACATTTTCTTATAACATTGTTGTTCTTTATTCCTCCTTCAAATGTAAAGTAAAGTTATCCTTTCTAATGTTACCTTGCTGTGTTTGGGTTGTCATTTGATTAGAGATCATCCTTTTTGTTCTTAGCACTATTACGGCATCACCTCAATGATGTTGAATGAGGAAATGTTAGACATTGCTGAAGAGAACCTGCAGGCGCATATTGAAATTGAAAAGGAGGAGGAAGAGATTAAAAGTCTTATTAAGCCTTTGCAGATCTGGATCACCAGGTGAGAGTAAAAAGAATATCTGTGAAGTTTCACTCATCTTCAGAAGAACGCACTTTTTCCTATCACAGGTAACAGGTGTAACCATCTGAAGCTATATGTGTGATTTTCTGATTTGAATTAGGTTATGTGCCCCTCACTATGAACATTCAGTATATAATTTAGAAATTATTTCTACTTTTGTTACATTTTGCACCAGTTTAAGTGAGGGATGTGAACAGGCAACGTTTAGACCCCAGATCACCTTAGGGAAAAGCAAGTATTAACAAAATAAGCTAGGAACTTTGTAGTGCAGCTATCTTGCATTAAATGTTTTTGGAAATATTTAAATTAGTAGAGTCACTTGCAGTTCTAGCTTTAGAAATGTCTGTATTTCTGATAGTCCTAACAGAGCACCTTAAAAAAATTGTGGTTCTTTAAAGACACCGATTTTTACGTGACAGTATCAACTGAAATGTATAGGATGGGAGAACTTTCAAAGTAAAGGAGGATCCAACTGTTTTAATTTTTAACCTGTTAAAATGACAGAAAGAGCAATAAAGGACCCAAGCTAATGGTCTATTTAAACATAATCAAATACAAAAGAAAGATTGTTGTGTTTATGTAATACTTCCAAACAAGCAGTAGTTAGTCATTAACTGTACTTTTTCTATATCCTTCTTTTATCAGTGCGTCAGCTCCAATCTGTTATCAGCTGATCCCTCTGTTGGCAAATGGAGAAGTGTTTGGGATGACCACAGAAATCAGTATACATTTGCTTGACACTGACCAGTTTAAGGAAGTTCTTTGTGGTATTGTAATGGAAGCTGAAGACATGGCGTTCCCACTCCTCCACAGTATTTCAGAGCACACTGAAATAGATGAGGCTTTTATTCAAGCTGATATTATAATTGTTCTTGATGATGTCCTCTTAGACCATGACGTCCAATCCCTTGAGAACCACATCAGAGAAGTGAGTGAGATCTGTCAAGTGTATGCTCCCCTGATTGAGAAGAATGCCAAGAGTGAGGTCAGAGTAATTTCATCAGGAAAAACCTTTGTAAACCTTAAGGCAATGATGATTATGGCATACGGCCCGTCCATTAAGCCTGAAAATGTCATTGCCATTGCGACACCCTGGGAAAGCGCAGCTAAAGCCATGCTGGCCAGAAAGCTGAATATGAGCGCAGCAGGTGAATATTTATTTGCGTTCTGGTAGTATTTGGGGAATTCAGTGGATGGCCACCTTTGAGAGTACATATTTCATTGCAGAACACAGTTGATGTGCATGCAGAAATGCAAGCACAGCATTGCACTCACTGAAATGCATGGCTGTACAGAACGCCAGGGTGTGACTAGGAGGTGCTGCCGTTCTCTGTGCTTACCACTATCTGGATCTGTGCCTGACCCCATGAATGTCAATTCTTTTCCCAACTCTTGGACGCAGCCCTGCCATTCTGGTGTGTATTTCATGCTGGAAATACACTAATAAGGACTGAGCTGTGTTGAGGATCAGGAACTAGGACTTCAAGATTGCATTTGCACTCTGCAGCGCTTTGTTATTTTGGAGACACACAAAGTAGCTGTGAATAAACATGACAACATACTGCTGTGCAGATTATGAGAGTATAGTAGAACTGTGTTGTAGTATTATTTCTGGGTTAATTAGCTTTCTTTCTCAGGTCAATTGTTATAGCTTGGTTATATTTGCACGGTTCTGCACTGCATCGCAAAGGTGTGCTCCAACAGCCTGCTCAGCATTAGCGTTCTTTCAACGTTGAAGGGGTAGGAACTGGTCATCGATGACAGGTCTAGGTATTTTGGAGCCTAATAAAATGGAAAAGTAAGTTAATAAGCTGAATATCCTATTAGCAGGTTATTTGAGAAATTCCTTTTGCACTAAAGCAGGTAGGGTTTTTTAATGTTTGTTTTACTGTTAGGCATTCTATATTTGTGTGTACAGAATTTTAAAAGGAACGTTGCTGTATATTTGCAATATGATATTTTTCTTTATTTTTTAACAGCTAAGCATTTACTAGGTTTTGTCTATTATGTACTATAACATGATATAAATTAAAGTTCCTTTTTCAGCTTGTGATGAGGTTTCATATGTTACAGAGAACCTTGTTGCATTTTTCAGATCAAATCATTTCTGCTATCAAGACAGGACAATGAATTGAAGAATAATTCATCTTGAAAGGGACTTCTGAAGGTCATCTAATCCAGCCTACATTGTGAAAGTATTTGTCTTTCTCTTCATTAATCTATGTATTTTCCTCTGTTACAGGAGTTAAAGATGTGATTATTTGGGGCAATATTACTGGCTGTAATTACATTGATTTGTCACATGCAAAACTTTATGGATATGACTGTGCTATTTGGGGCCCAGCTAATTTTCCACGTCCTTTGTTGAATATGATTTATGATAGGTACAGTACAGATTTATTTTTTTAAAGTAAAACTAAATAACTGCTTTTAGTCCATGTTTATTTGAACTGTTTGATAAACATCAAGAAAGTGTTTTGTTTTCAGGATTTGTCTTTACTGACTAGCGCTGTGCATAAAGGAAAACTCAAGTTGAGGTACTCAGTCTGCAAAAGATCTTGAGTAGTTCCTAGTGCTATATGTAGTTCTGACTCTCCTGCTGACTTCGTTTATAACTGTATTTTCCTATATGTTAAGTGTGTTTCTTTTCTATCATATCACAAGCAGCCTATAAAAAGTAATGGGAGTCCAGACAGTGATGTAGATGTCTAGTAAGCATGAAGAAACTTTGAAATGATACTGAACATATATCTGCATCTTGAAGTACCTGAATTCCATTGAACATATGGCCTAAGCACACTAATGTTGTCAGTTTCTCAAAACAGACAATTTGTTAACATGTATAAAAAGGATACCTGGCAGCTAGATAGCTTCTTGTGGAAACAGAGGTAGCAGGGAAAGGACGGGTGCAGGGAGAGGGCAGCAGATGTGACATACACTCAGGCCTGGCTATATGGAGCTCCCACTCTGGTTGTAACCTAGTATTTACTGGACAGCAGACATTTCTTTTGTGCTATACTTGTACTGTGCCTAGCACAGGGGGATTATGGTTCATGGCTGGGTTCTTACGTAAGATGGTAGTACATGTAAAAATAATAATCATAGAGGTTATAACTTGAGTAAGTGACTTAACTTTCATAGAAAAATGGTACTTGTTGTTGCCTTTTGAGACACTTTTTGTTAGACCCTATTTTTTCTGTCTTTAAGTGCCTTGCCTTCAGCATTGAAGTTTGCATAAGTTTCAACTATTTTCTTCCCTTAGGTTTAGGGTTTTTTTCCTCTAGAAAACTACTCCTCCTGCAGTCATCTTAGTTTTTTCTTCTTTTTTTTTTCTCCCTTTTTTTTTTTTGTTGGTAGTGAATGGATCCATTCAGAATTTCTATCTGCACAGAGTTCACTGAGTTCCCGGGTCTGTCATTGTGGAGGAATGTTACCTGCTCATGCAGTAGCCACTGTACTGAGATACTGGTATCATGGGTCTCCTCCTGGGGAGATCGTTTCTCTGGGAGTACCTACTGAAGGTAAATCTACTCTTGCTTCACATACTCTCTTGTGGCTTTCCCCAGTATATATAATTATATTTTTAAATCGAGAATTTTTATTTAATAAAAACTTGTAAAATAAATCACGATATAATGGGAGGCTGAGAGTTTGTTTCAACATAAGAACCTCCAAATCTAAGCAATTTTGCTTTCCAGAGCTTGTGATTTGATATTCACTTCTTACAAGCATCTCTTGGGTTTATATTGTCTTGTTGCAGATTGTCTCTTAGTCTTTTAGTTTAAATGCTTTTCTGGTGTATGTATTTTGTGCAAGGAGTCTTTATAGTTCTTAGAGCCAAGCTATAAAAGCATGTTCTTCTTGTGTAGTTATGTGGACCAAATAGAACATTTCACAACAGGCATTTAACCATTGCAGGAAATAAAAAAATTAAGTTTTTGCCCTTTTTAAGATGTAAAATTGTTATAGCAATTGTGTTACGGCACAGAAAAGACATGGACCTGTTGGAGTGGGTCCAGAGGAGAGCCATAAAAATGATCAGAGGGCTGGAGTACCTCTCCTATGAGGACAGGCTGAAAGATTTGGGGTTGTTCAGCCTGGAAAAGAGAAGGCTTGGAGGAGACCTTATAGCGGCCTTTCGGTACTTAAAGGGGACTTATAAAGAAGATGGGGACAGACTTTTTAGCAGGGCCTGTGGCAATAGGACAATGGGTAACGGTTTTAAACTAAAAGAGGGTAGATTTAGACCAGCTATAAGAAAGAAATTTTTTCTGATGAGGGTGGTGAAACGCTGGAACAGATTGCCCAAAGAGGCGGTAGATGCCCCATCCCTGGAAACATTCAAGGTCATGTTGGACAGGGCTCTGAGCAACCTGATCTAGCTGAAGATGTCCCTGCTTATTGCAAGGGGTTTGGACCAGATGACCTTTAAAGGTCCCTTCCAACCCAAACCATTCTATGACTCTGAAGATTGTACGATTCTACAATTCACATACATCTAACTAAAATAAAAAATTACAGTAAAAGGGGAACTCTTTAGTCTTTGAACTGTACACTGAAAAAGGCAGTCTCTGTTTATACTAAGATCTTACAGTTGCAGACTTTTGCATGTCTGTAGGACCTAATCTTGGCACTGGTGAGGATGTGATTTTTAGTCAGAAATGGTATGTTTGGGTCATTTTTTCCCTCTTCTTCAGGTCAATTTTGCGTTCCTGAAGGAATTGTCTTCTCTATGCCAGTGAGGTTCCAGAATGGTAACTGGGAAGTCATGACACAATTAGAAATTAGTGAAACGACCCAAGAAGTTCTGGGACGCTTAGCCCATGAGCTGATTGAGGTGATGATTTCTTGCATCTAATAGTATACCCATTCTGCCACCTATGGGTAGGTTGCAATACAACTTTGAATACTGAGACCTTTACTCCAAATCTTAGAGTACAAACTGCACACGTGCACTTATGTGTGATAAATACCAGGTATTTATAAGTGTAAGGTGGTATTTGTATATTGAAATGAACAGACATCTGTTCTGTTGCACAAAAAGGAGGTGGCAAAAAAAGTTTACCTATGTAAGTGTAGAATTTGCACCCCCAAGTTCTGCAGGCTTTGTGCAAAACAGAAATAGTAGCTTTAATTTAATGTTTCTACATTCTGTGCTGCTGATGTTGATTTTGCTTATGTGGTATTCAGAGTAGTTCTATGCCAGGAGACATATCTTTTGGGATCCTTATGGCTGTGACTGCATGAACAAAGGCCAGATTTACTAGGATTAGAGATTTTTCAGAAAATACAAAAGCAGTGATTTCATCATGAACTTCTCATAAGACAAAAAGAATTTAAATTGACTGAATATTAAAATACTAAAAAGACCGGTCCCAAACTCTACATTCTAGCTTCAATCTGATTTTCTGATCTTCAGTCATGCTAGTAATATTTAAGGATTATTCTGTTTTAACATATTTTAAGTTTGTGCTAGAAATTCAAGTGGATTAAAAGAATGGGTGATATGAAAACTGCTTCTTTTTTTTTCCCATTCAGGAGAAGCTGATTGCACTAAAGGAAATAAAACAAATGCATCCTTATGGAGCTGATAAAATCACTAGTAAAAAATATTTGTGTCAAGGTGGGTTTTTCTCCCCATAAAAGATGAGATCAAGTTTTAAGTGAGAATTTAAGTAATGGATTCTTATTTTATGTCCCTTTGTTTAAAATGGATATAAAATCTTTCCAGAAGGAATATAAACAACAAGTGCTTGTCTGGTGTATCCTGACCATACCTGAGGCATGGTGATAGGAAGGGCAAGCCTGCATAGTAGCAACCTTGTTTTTGTAAGTTTCTGTTGTGTCATTCACAGATCATGACTATAAAAGCTGAGCATAAATAATACATTTAGGATGACACATTTTATCTTAGGTTATTAGTCAATATAAAATATTTTTAACCCAAGTAACTATTATTAGAAAAGCACTTTCACCATATGTCCTACTATATGTTTTTGGTTTACTATACTTTACTATTCTTTACTATCTAGAAATAATGAGTTGAATTTCTAACAGAGAAAAAAAAAATACTGTAAATTTGAACGCAAACTTCTCATTTTTCTGTTTGTTACAGTACCAAACAGTTTATTCAGTATCTTTAGTCAATAAGTCAGTCAGAAGAAGAAAAGGTTGAGACACCCAAAGACAGTAGGCTAAAAAAAAGTGATATTCCTGCTTTCTATACAGAAGGCATTCTTGGTAAGTGGCAGCCACATCTGCCACTTCTTCCAATTACAACAGATGACAGATCTTTTAGAGATCCCTACATTATAAATTATTAAGCCATTTTGCGTTGTTTGTTAACGACACAAAGTTCATCATGACTTGATTTTGTTAAATGCATAATGACATGAGAAATGTCAACTAAAAATCTATAGAACAACTCCAATATCTCTTCCTAATATTTAGGAGCATGTGGGAAGCCTATAGGCTACATGAAACTGCCATGGCAAAATTCCCCCGAATCCACAATCTACTTTTCTCATGCAGAATAAAACCCCCACATCTTCTCCCAAATCTTTCTGTGCTGCTTTTCCTACCTATTTTGCTTTTCAAGTTCTCTGTCCTCTTAAGATTATATAAAGGAAAGAAGAATCATTCATCAAAATAAGAACAGATGAACTTTAAAGTGTGTTTTATTTTTATTTTCTCACTTTTTCCCTATTCCCTGCATTTTCCCAATGTTCTGGCCATTTCTTTCTACTTTTAGGTCCTACAGGCCTTTTTCCTAGTTAGTTTTCTTTCTCCCTTCCTTCAAATTATTTCCAGTGCTTTTATATCAGCACTTACAGTATGAGCTACTCTTCTGCATTAAGGTCAGGCTGAAGAATGGGGAAACTATATGGAGCTTGATGCCCAGGGCCTTACGTAAGCACGTAATCCTTTTGGTTATCCATGCTTGTTTCTCAGGAAAGGACTACAGACACAGTAAGATTTTCTTGATAAATGCACAGTTTAATTATTCCACTAATCATGACCTTGATTAACCCAGACAGGAGATTTCCAATTAGATAGGAGTGTCCTACCCTGTCTGGTCTCTACTTGTATGACACTGCTTTTCTGTAGACCTGTCCCATTCCACTTGTGGCTGCTTTAAACACTAAGCAGAGGACCTTTCTACTGCTAGCAGCTAACTGCTTGGCTGTAGCCTCCTCCTGTCACGTTAGTATCAAGTGCTGTACTATTCAAAGATTACCTAGGTGGCCTGCTTTTCTCCTTGCATGTGTAAGTATTTTAGGAGGTTGGCAAAAATATGTACTGGTTTTGCTTTTTTTACAGGGATGGAAACCTTGCCTACTGGCTCACTTTAGCCAGAGTTGTCTGGAGGAGAAAATGCTGAAAATTCCCATACTAAAACATTGTTTCCATTGCTCAAAAGACCAAACTACGAAGAAAGGCTAAACATTGTCATAGCTTTTACAGTAGCTTCCTCATCAAAAACCTGGAAATCTGTAGGCATAAAAATACCTCAAAACCAGTGTGAATATAACATTCTTCATCTGGAGGCCAAAGCAAAATTAAAAACCTGCTGACTTTAATGAGTCTGGGATTTCTTTTACATCCAACAACTTACTTCTTCAGACCAATAAACTGTTTCAAAAACATCTTTTAATGTCTAAAGCATCCATATTAATGCAATTTTTAGCAAGAATATCACACATAGAGTAGCAGCTTTATAACTCCAAGTTCTTGTTTCAGTTGTAATGAAACACAGTACTCATGCAAGAACGTGTATTCTTAGGCAAAATTAATTTTTAACACAAAAATTTAACTGCGTGCATCTTAGTGACGATCATTTTCGTCTCCATGTTTTTTATTTATTTCATGAGTTTCATAGGGACTACTCATATGTTGTAAGTCAAACATGCAATTAATTAATTCCTTGTCTAAACAGGGTTGTTGAGGAACCATTTTCACTTGCATGTCTTTGGTGTCTTAAAAGATGGAGACTGAGTTAAATGAAATATTATTGTACTTGTGAGTGTTTAAAGCAAAATAAGAAGTTTCCTATTCTTTGATTCAGATATATACAGTTGGGGTAAATTAATTATTTCTGTTCAAGTGGAGATTCAAACTCTGAAAAGGGGTAGGCAACTTCTTACATGAGGAAACCAAAAGGAGTTTATTTGTTATTTATCAGCTGATATGGACAGAATGAGGAGGGGCGTCTCACTGGTCTTAGAAAGAGGAGCTCAGGAAGCTGGGGTATCACAAGGGAGTTGGAAGAGTGTAGTTTCTTATGTGAAATGTATATGGGAGAAGCAACATTTACAGGAACTGTAATACAAGTATCTTCATGGAAGAGTTCACATGAGAGTTGTAGAGGCAGGTGTTGTAAAACGTCTTGAAGAAAGTGGTTGGGAATCATTCATTTCATGAGGAAGTGGTCTCCAGGGAATTAGTTTCTAGTAGTGTATGCACAGAAAATTGGCTGAGTCTCTGAGGAGCATCTTGAGGCAGATGTCTCAGGAAAGCATAGCAGGGAAGGATCCTACCAGTAGTCTTTACAAACTACCTGGTTTGTTCCATAGCTCCTTCTCCCAGACAGGAGAGGAAAAGTTGGCTTCTCTAATGTTTATTTATATTTGAGTTTTTCTGTATGGAATATGATTTGGCAGTCTTTTACTCTTTGAATTTTTTTATTCTACCTGTGGAGATAGTAGTTCCAACAGACTGCAATTCAAACACCAACACTGGGCACAGCTGTTACTGGGAAGGAAATTGTTTCTGCAGTCTTACCAGACTTCTGAGACACTACCTGAAAACCACAGGCAAAGAATTTCTTCTCAGAGGCTGGGAGGAGAAAGACAAGTGTCTTGGATGTCGCTTTTATCCTAAATTATTCTAATTAGATTTGTCTAGTGGTCTGCAGGTAAATTCAGGTCTTTCCTCATGGAAGTATAATAGAATGGAAACTAAAGTTTTTTTTCTTAGCTTTTGCTTAGGAGAGAAAGAAAGAATAAAAATTATAGGAGAGCTAAAATATGATAACGTATTTAAAGTTGGTTACAGTTGTAACACAGTGATAGACTTAGTCATCAGTAAGTTTGGGTTTTCCATAAGTAATAAGTAATTTCTGGTATACATTTTCTCACAAGTTACTGAGTAATGCTATGCATGCAGGATATTCATAGCATTGATGAATCGTATTACCTGGGTGTTGGAGTAACTGTGGAAAAAATTATGAAAAAGCTCTTTAAGATAAAGGTATGTGTCTTACAAATGTTATATATATTCTGCATAAACCCTAGCATTTGGTTGTACTGAAGAGTGTGTAATCTTTCTGGTTGCTCTGAACAATTCTTATTCTAGGACCTTACCACTAGGACTTGCTATTTTTCCTCTTTGTGTAGTTGCACCAACTGTTTGTTATAGCACATTGTGTTTTCTGCATTATTGTTCCAGCTTCCACCTCATTTTCAGTCTCTATAGCAACACTGTTTCTTAGCAACTCGGATATTTACTATGCTTAGTAAAGGTCCCTCAATTTAGAAATATTGTACTCCAACCATAAGAAAAAATTGCTTTGAAACAAAGATCAAAGAAGTTTTATCTTTAATAATTCAGGATATTTATTACTAATTAATTAGGGTTCTCTGTTTTGACTGCTTAGACAATTACCTGATACTTTGATCTGGGCCTTTGCCAGGCATTTGTTGTGAACAGCATTCATGTAGCAAAACCTTTAGAACTGTGTCTTGAAGTCAACTTTTAAGTGCTATAAAACTACTGGACTTCTCTGGCGGTGTCGTCTGGCTTCTGGGCCTTTAGTAAGTTGCTGAGAGAAAGGTAAGCGCTATTACTGTATTTAAGAGAAGACAATAATTTTGACCTTTGAACACAGCATGGAATGTTTTCACCCTTCACAGGAAACAAAAGTAATTGTAATTTATTTTATGCATATTTAAAATGTTGATCAGATGTTGTCTGATTTCAAAAGAAGGAAGGCCTCTGTCATCCAGTCAATTTATCTAACAGGAGATTTCTGCCTTACTTGGTCTGGTGTGTCGTTCTCTGTACTTTAACTTAGTTATGTAAATTACATTTAAAAATGCATTTTATTTGCTAAAGTACATATTTTGACAACCTGTATAGGCAAACGAAATACATCAAAGTAATCAAACATGTTACTTTTCTTGCATGTTCTAATAGGATTCAAGAATAAGGCTACTCTTGTTCTGCACATAACAGTATTTGTGTTAGTGGATTCTGAGTTTATAATTGTAAAAATTTATTTCTTGTACATTTGTAACTAATTTTAAAATTCTTTTTTGTTTTGTGGAAGTGTTTTTAATTATTAATAAAGGGCACATGTAGCTGAAATACAACACACTGACTGACATAGTGTATCAATGAGCAGAATTAGTTCAGATTTGATGTTTTGGCAGGCAGATGATGCCTCTGCTTTCGTATGATGTTCATTATAAAGTAGCTGTACTAACACTGAAGTAGATTCTGTTCATTTAACCCAAGCACTCCTACTGCAGTCAAGATCTGGACTCTGTGTAGAATTTTGTAAATAAAAATGTAGACTGTACATATGTTAATAATGCCTTTCATAACTTTTTGGAGGGACGGTTCATGGGTATGATGTTATGATGTTGCACAATGACAACTAGTTTGGTAAAACACATAAACACATACTTAACTTTGGGACCATGAATACCCTAGTACAAGAGTATAGCATACTTAACCATATGGGTAATTTAAAGGTTGCACTGTATGGGATAGAGAGCTTGTCATCTTACAGAAAGTATCAAGTGCTAATAGATTATGCATGCTGTATAACTCAGTAATGTCAGTGGATCTGTTCTTATTTGAAGGAGAAAATTCTAGTGAGTGAGTTCTTATCTAAGTGAGTTTAACTGGTGTATTTTTCATGTATTTTTTCATCCTCTGGCTTTATTTTATGTACCTTTGGTGGAGAGAAAAAGAGGAGGAAAACTTGAGGCAAGCTGTATGTTTGAAAGTCTATCGTTAAGGTTACTATATGTAGGTTTCACTAAACACTAATGTTTAATTCATTGCTTAGAGTCTTCTGATTTCATTGATTTCCTCACATTGACTTTTCTGTCAAGCTATGTGGAGGCATATACTGCTACACCCAT